TCATCACAAATAATACAGTATTGAGTTTTTATGATTGCATTACAGTTATCCCTTAAATAGTCATACCTTTTGGCCACCGGTTGTGGTCAGCGGTCATCAAATCTCTGCCGTCGTATAGATTTCGGGCGAATTCGTCGATTGTGTCGGACTTTGGGAATCGACCCGACATTCCGCTAATCACCACATCTTCTGTCCTGTACTTAGACTTTGAAGACATGTTTTAGTGAAACCGTTAGCTTATATGTAATTACTAAAAAATAACTCAATTTTTATATCTAAACAAAAATGTTGCTTTTCTAGTCTATTGATATAATGTAATGAGTTTAATTTTGAGAGTGTCGATGTTATATACCAAGATCATTTTATTTATGCCTATTTTGACAGAATGAAAAAATAGAAAATCAAATCGAATCAGATCAAATTATACAAATAAAAAATGATTAAATTTAATGATTAAACTACCAATTATAAAGTTTGTTACGGTATTTAGTGCTAATTAATTAGATTTCAAATGTTAAATAACACCCGCAGCTATTTGCTGACAAACTAGAGCTATAGATTGCTTGATTCGTGCTGAATATTGTGACTATGATGATGAATCTATAATCATTTCTTAATATATTCACCTATTTTAATTATCATTTTTTAAAAAATTTTAAAGCCTATAAACTAGAGAGATGCATGTAACTTAGTACAACCTTCAACCTTATATAAAACCATGAAAAATGTCATAAGAATAAATAGAGCTTAAATTATTTAATATGTTTAATTAATACCTCCCAAATGATGCACTCAAGTGTATGTTATACTCGTTAACAAAATCACTGCCAGTTTGGATGACATTCTGGATGACAGTCCAGACTCTCGACGACCTTATATAACAATCAAACAATTTGTGATCGAATATGACATTATATTTAGCAATTAAAATTTTACTTTGTTAGCAACAAGTAAATTTTACGATTTAATTATTGTGCTGTTTATCATATTTAATGCTCTTATTGTGTTATAATCTAATACAGTAAACGACCATTTGGGTGAAGTGATTGCCAATCACTGATTGGGTTAACATAGATGATCTATTTATGCAAATGATCTTGTTAAAAATATAATTAAAAACGTTAATTTTTCTATTAATATTCAAAATTATACATTTTAATTGTTATATGAGAAATAGTCTGTAATTTACTGTTGTTTTAATGATTTAAATGAAGTTTTAAACACTTTGAAGACATGATTAACTTATAATTTTGATTAATCTAGGCACTAACCGCTATGTTTTTTGCTTATATTCTAAAAGAATAAAAAATAAAATTACAGTTTTTGTACAAAACACATGTTTATAATGCTGTCCTCTATATATCCTAAAATATTTTACTTTTTAAATATAATTAGTGGGGATTAAACATGGTTTTTAATAAAAACTAATATTTATTCATAATATAATTTTTGATATAAAAATAATATAAAAACAGGGCATATAATGACTATAAGAAGTGTAAGAATTAAAATGAATAATACAATAGAAATTCCTGATTAACTTTCATTTATTGTTTGTTTCTCTAAACTCCACATTTAAATTGAATATTAAATAGTGGTGTTTAGCACTCCTTACAATGTTAGTAATGTAACATTACTAATGTTTTTGTTATATCTTACTTGTTATATTGGTAAAGTTATAAGAATCTGTAACAATTTGTAATAATATATAATAATAAATACAAGTATAGCCAATACAAAGAGCAGAATTATTGATCGCTAAACAGCACTATTTAATATTCAATTTGAATGTCGTTTCGTGGAGTTTAGAGAAAAGTTTCATTCAAAACAAAACTGTCATTTATTTATAAAATAAAAGAATTCAAATCTATTATTATTTAATTGAAAGATTTGTTTGGAATTAACCCCCGATTGGGTGCTATCGAGAGCTGCGATCGCTTTGACGCCACTTTCTTCGGCCAATTGGGCGCCGATCTGATGGACCCACAGATCCGCATGTTATTGGAAGTGGTCTATGAGGCCATCGTTGACGCCGGTATGGCTTCTCTCCTATTAAACAAATGATAAACAAAATAAATATATGTTTTAAATAAAATTATATAGAAATATATGCATTAATATTGTGATAAATTATATAATTATATCTGTTATAGTGTATAATATAAGATATAATAACTCCTTATATTATAAGGTTTACATCCGCAACAACTGCGAGGCTATGGCACCGGTGTATACGTCGGCACCGCTAATATAGTGGGTTGTGATGGACTGCCAGAGGACTTACAGCCGGATATGCCTAATATGGC